CACCAAGTTAAAGCGTAGTGTGTTTGTGTTAACACCTATGTATTATATTTTGTTATTCAATTCTTTTTAGATATATGAGCTTGTATGCAATCAATAAACATAATAGTTACATGGCAAATTATAAACAACACAAAACAACGTGACTTAGTATAATAAATGTTATAGCCAGACACGAGAGTAATTACTCTACAGACAATATAACGTATAGGTATTATATTGAAGTGAGTGCGATGGTAATCAATAGAAGAAGCGGCCGCGGTAATGAAGGAGTATCGAGATTAATGATATTTAAGATAGAACAGACCATTGTATAAACAATAGACACTAGATAAAGAGACTAATACATAGTAATAAAGACACTAGTATAAGGATCAATAAATAATAATCACATATAAATGACTAAACGAATGGACAACGATTAATGGATTCACAATCACACACACACACACACACACACATACATACACTAACACACACCCTAACACACCACACGCACACACCACACACACAACCACACACATCAACCAACGAACATCAACCACAACATACCAACTGTACACACTAACATGCATCAATCACACACCACACACACACCACACAACACAACCAATAAACCATAACAACATCACACATCACACATCACACCACACCACACACACAACACCACCACACAAAGACAGCGAAGAGTAGCGTAACGACAATATAGAGAGAAGAGATGAGAGTTGAGTAAGGAGGAGGAGGAGGAGGAGGAGGGGGGTAAGTGAGGGTAGGGATAGTATATATAGGTTATGCATCTAGAGGGGAACGTGTGCAGTACGCCGCGAGGGGAATAATTTAACTGGCTCATGACTCACATTGAGGGCGCTGAAATGTGCAAACTTTACATAGCAGACCATTGTGTACAGAAAGCTTCGAGCACGTCAAAACAAATGTAGTGAAACTATTATTTGCAAATCGAGTAACGTATAACAATCCTCAGGATGGCCTCGATAAATCTGAGCATCAACTATCGACCTATAAGTCTACACATAGACATATTTTAGCATATGCGATCCTCACGCACTTACAAGAGCTAAACGCGCACTACCTGTCCACTGTACTACAACGCAATACTACACAGACTATTGGAGTTATTCTTATTTTGATGGTGGTTTTTACTTGGCATCACGAAGCGATTGGCCACTATTTTGGGGTTTTCTCATCACGAAGCGATGGGCACTATTTTGGTGGTATCTATCTCATCACGAAGCGATTGCCCCCCCCGTTGATATCTCACAACCCCATAGCGTGAATCAGCTCTGAGCCTCTTTAATATCTCGGACAAATATGACGGCCTCATTTTCGGATTCAATGATGGGCGACATCACTCACTTCGGTAACGTCACTGCTCGTTTAACGTTGACGGGGTGTTGCGTCACCGTTGGCACCGTGACGTTTTCGAGTGGCACCCGGCGTCACGCAGGCAGTGACAGATGAGTAATTACCGAATGGAGAGAAACTTAGCGGTGAACTATGCGGGGTAAGAAGAGAGGTCGCTTTGAAGGGGAATTTGATTCATTCCGTTTTGCACGTGGATAGATAAAAGAAAGATAGATAGATAGATAATTAGATAGGTCGATAGATAATTAGATCGATAGATGATTAGAGAGGAGAGGAGAGGAGAGGAGAGGAGAGGAGAGAGGAGAGGGAGGAGAGAGGAGAGAGAGGAGGGAGAGGAGAGGAGAGGAGAGGAGAGGAGAGGAGAGGAGAGGAAGAGGAGGAGGAGAGGAGAGGAGAGGAGAGGAGGAGAGGAGAGGAGAGGAGAGGAGAGGAGAGGAGAGGAGAGGAGAGGAGAGGAGAGGAGAGGAGAGGAGAGGAGAGAGAGGAGTAGATGATTAGAGGAGATAAATTCTTATACCTTATTCAGGTGTATCGGAAGAGGATTGTTTATGGTAAATCAATAGGAAATCCGTTCGTAAATCCTTTGCATACTTAGGAGCCTAGACTAAATCTAAAAATAAAACGCGAAAGGAAGAAGTAATCAGAGACGACCATGGGAAAAAAAGAAGAAAAAGGAAGGAAAGAAGAAGAAAAAAGAAAAAAAGAAAAGGAAAGAAAAGAAAATAAAGAAAAGAAAAAAAGAAAGGAAATGAAAGGAAAAGAAAAAAGGAAGAGACAAATGAGACGAGACTATTTACGAAGAGCGGAAGGGAATTATTGGGCAATTACTTTGTTTCATTAGAGTTATGTGGACATTTTTTTCTGTTTCCTTAAATAAACAGATACACACAACACATGTTTTCAATCTCTCGGAAACATTTATTACCGAAAAGTGTAGTTTGAGGCAAATTTACGTCTTCACGGCCGAACAAACCGGTACTCTTGCTGTTGTTCTTTTTCTTCTCGTTCTTCTTGTGATATTTTCGCTTTTATTTTTCCTTTCTTCTCTGTTCTTTTTCATCTCCGTTTTTCTCTCATTCTTTTTGTGTTCCCTTGATTGTCTTGTCCTTTTTTTTATTTATTTTCCATTTGCAATTCTCATTCTCTAACAATACTATCTTTCGTTTTTCCCTCTTCCACGTTTTTTTTTTCGTTGTCCTTGTCTTGTTCTCTTTCCTCTCTTTGTCTTCCTTTCTCTCCTCTCGTGTTTCTATTATCGTCTACTACTGCACTCCTCATCTTCGTTTCTTCTGCTTGGCTCTCTTCCATTCTGCTCTTGTCCTTCCTCTCTCCGTTTATATATGCTTATTTCTTCTTTCTCTGCCCACTCTTCCTCCGTCTCTCTCTTTCCCTGTCGCTCCCTCTACCTCTACCTTTCTCTCCTTCCTTCCTTCTCTCTCTTCTCTTCTCCCTCTCTTCTTCTCTCCCTCTCTCCTTTCTCTCCCTCTCTCCTCTCCTTCCTCTCTCTCCTCTCTCTCTCTCTCCTCTCCTCTCCTCCCTCTCTTCTCCTGTCTTCTCTCTCCCTCTCCTCTCCCATCTCTTCCCTTTCCCTCTCCCCCAGAGTTAGAATTCGCACGATAATAGGCGAGTAGACATAGCGAAAACGTGGATAATTGAGCGTGTGAATGACAAGACAGATTGGGGGTGTTGGGAGGGCAGAAGGGGGGGGGGGAGGGGAAGAAAAGAGGAGGAGGAGGGGAAGGGGAGGGTATGTCGAAGGTGAGGAAGAGCGACTTGGGTAAGAGGATGTTAAGATCAGGTCAGCCTCGCTAGGTATTTCCCTCGCATACCGCCGTAGTCGGGCATACCTCCATCTCACCTCTCGCCCTCCCCTCTCCCCCCCCTTTCCCATTGAATGCTTTTCCTTACCACCGCAGACCTATCTCTGATATATGCATACGTTCATGAATATACCTTCGTGTACACCGTCGGTCTGTATACTCCCGTGTGCACATTGCTCCTTCACTCGGCTGAGATAGTATCGCGAACGTCTTTCATTTTCGCAAAAAACGTCTAGGTGGCGCCTGGTGCCCTCCCATGCCAGCGTTCCCAGACGCTGACGGCGCACGAGACACATTCTTCGCGGAAAGTCTGCCTGCGGCGACGAGGGGACTCGTGAGGGGACTTGTGAGGGGACTCGTGAGGGGACTAGAAAGGGGCCTCGGGAAGGAACACTCGCGGGCTCCGATAACAAGGAACCCAAACGCTAACGACCGCTTTTATATCCCTTTAGATTGTTTCTCGATAGTTTTTGCGTCGCCCCAAAGGCCCCAAAGGCTTCAAAGGTATATATATATTTTTTCAGAATGCGTTTTTTAATAGCTCTACCGTGTTTGGTTTGGTAATGTGCATGATGTGATTTAGATTCCTTTTCGAGTGAATTTCAACGGGTTGGGGAGATACATGTAAACTTATTCAAGTGTATTTCTATTGATATTCTGAAGACGTCTCTTCAATCCCTATTATTAGTAAAAGGTATTTTTATTAACGAATGATAACCAAATTAATTTTTTTTCTTTTGCATATGTAAATTTTACTTTGAATTATTCTCCTGCACATGAGAAAGTTTTAATAGCACAATATGAGTAAACAAAGTATGAAAAGTTATTTTGTGCTTTGTGCACGCGTCTGAAAGGGATTTTGTCAAGGCATTTTTGATATATAGTTCACAGATATTCTGTTATATTCTTCATTTCGTTTCTTCCACATTGCTTGTTTCACTGACCTGTATTGCACACTGCACCCAAGCCTTATTCTTTCGGTCGGAGGATCGCATTCTCTTGCTCTTCTTAAATGAGTTATATATATTTTTTTTCGGTATAGAAGGGTCATAATTCTTTGTCCGACAAAGGGAGGCTTTGAGAATTTGTCTAGTTCCGCTTGGCGTTGTAAATGCGGGTAGGCTGGGCCGTAGAGTTTTTAAAGGTGGATTCCAGCGTATCGGTAGTTTTATGAAGAATTCTTATGCTTACAGCTTTGTAATAGTAAAACTAGACATATTCTTGAAAGCGTGTACGAGTATGATTTGTTATGATATTTTCCCAGTATTGATAAGGTTCCATTAATACATATTTCACAAAAAAACATACGAATTCTTCGATACTGAAGCAAATTCTCCATCTGACAGTTGCAATTTCGCATTGAATACATTGCTTACCGTAACACGCGTTGGAGTAACCTGTAGCGCTTAGTTCATGGAACCAGTGTTCTGTAACGGTGCAGTTGGATGCTTGGTTTCGACTGCTGTTGCTAAAAAGGTCTCAACTATATGCATTATCATGCTACAGGACTATCGACGTTTCTATACTCGGCCTAGGCAAATTATATTGATATGTGTTACGTTATCAGTTAGTGATTGTTATGTTTCTCTTACATATTCCAGAGAGAAACAATCTTTCCAAAATATAACAATATATGGACCTCTTATATTAGATATTCCAGAAAGCAACAATGTTTCCAAAATATAACAACATATGAACCTCCTATATTACACATTCCATAAAGCCGCAATGTGTACCAGAATATAACAATATGCGGACCTTATAGACAGTAGTAGCTAATGCCATTTCTCTCCCCCGCAGGACTACCGAAACTACAAGTCGTACACGGCCACTTGCGTCCAGGACTTGAACGACGGAGAGAGGTTCATCGTGTATGCGCGCACGCACTGGTGAGTGGGGGAGGCAGGGGGTGGGAGGAGTGAGTGGATGGGTGGTGAGGGTGGAGTGGAGTGAGTGGTGAGTGGGGGGTGGGTGGGTGGGTGGTGGTGGTGGTGGGTGGGTGAGTGGGTAGATGGGTGGGGAGTGGGTGTGTGGATGGTGGGAGTGGGGTGTGGAAGGATGGGTGATGGAGTGGGTGGGTAGTAGGTGGGTGGTAGTGGTGGGTGGGTGTGTAGGTGAGTGTGTGAAAGTGTGTGTGTGTGTGTGTGTGAGAGAGGTGAGAGTGAGAGTGAGAGTGAGTAAGTGCATGTGCGTGCATATGCGTGCGTGCGTGCGGAGAGGGAGAGACCATGGATGTGCCTGTTTGTATGTAGGGTTGAATGTGTATTCCCAGTGGGTATGACTAGGAAGGCTTAGGTATCACAAAGTAAAACAAAAAAAAAATACATATATCGGCCATTCCTTCCTCGGGAGGAGCCGCTTATGAACACGATGATTGTGCGTGTGCAGACTCTGACCTCAAATAATGGGTAATAGATTTGTAAACAGTTGGTTTGGAACCTTTGGAGAAGAGGTCAGCCTCTGACCCCAAGGCCTCGTTATCATGTAAGAAAAGAAACGCAGAGCTGTTATGAAGCATCTTATTAACAACCCCGATGCGCAGAAAAAGTTCCTTTATCCCGCCCTTGTATACAGAAGCTAATGATAAATAAACTAGCCGACTGAATGACCATTGAGAAGGTATATTGCCCTGTAGGATGCGTCCAAAACATCAGCTGACAAAGGGATCTCAGTACTGGCGGTTAGGGGATTGTTTCGGTGTTATACAGTGTGTTCTTGTGTTCTCTCCCCAGCGGCGATTGGAACTATAACTGCATGTGGCTCAAGAGGCGCAGTGCCAACATCTTGGAGTTCATGCTGGGTGAGTCTCATGATTTTTTTCTTCAGTTTTTCCTTTTATTTGATATTATTTTCGAGTACTATGGGTTGAGAGGTGTTGAAGATACGGACGGGAAGGATGGATACAAACATGTCAAATGAACAGATGAATGTCGAATGATGAATTAGATAAGCATAGTCACACGAAAGGCGAGTTCGCTTGTCACTTAGGGCCGTATGTAGACCGATCGTCCTCATGTGCGCAAAGTCGCCGTGTCTTCCCGACAGCTGATCGTGTTCTTCCCCGACAGGTCTCTATCCGAGCGAGGTGTTCGACGACCGGCTGTGCGACTATGCCAAGTTCGGGGACATGACTTCGTGGATCACACAAGGAAGTGAGTTGCAAGGTCGAGTTGCTTGCCACAATAGAAGGATGCTTGCTGCGCTGGCGATCTGATCTGTTGTTTGTGACGAAAAAAAGGAATTGTTTTGCCACGCGCGATTAGTTGTGAAATGATATGGTATATGCTTTGCAGGAAATATCGGAAGGCGTGCGTAAATCCGTATGCAATTTAGGAGTCTGGAATTTATATCTTTTCTACGTAAATTCTGTTTTTTTTCAGTGATGTTGCAAACGTCTATTCACAGCCTTTTGAAAAGTGGTTTATATTTTGTATTGTGGAATTATGATTTTCCACATGGTTTTCCCTCCTGTCAGTGCAATTAAAATGTTTTCGAATGCTCGGTCATTGTCCCTTTCTTACTGACGTTTCCCCCGCCGTGCAGAATCCCTCGTGGAGGAGCCGACGGCGTGTCCCATCGTCGGCAACTACGCGGGGGAGCTTCCGGACGCGAAAGGGATCTGCTCGCAGCTCTATTCGGACTGCGACGCCCCCGAGATCATGTACTACACGGTCAGTGAGTGCCGGAACAACACCGCCATCTATGAACGTGAGTAGCGAGTCTTGTGATTCATTTCCTGCTAAGTTGTCAACCTTGGTAATATTGACTTGATAGGCTTCGGCTTGACTAACGAAGTAACTTTGACGTACTAACTCGTGCTTGGTTATACCACGTAATTCAACTAACAGAAAGTACAGTACATATGCTCGACAGTTGTGTAAGATTTTGCAGCATAGTCACTAACATTCCCTTTGCCGGTAGTTGCCCAGTTCTTAGATGAGTTAAAAGCCTGGCGCAGGTCAGAGGCTGGAGGCATATCCCGTGTATTTCCAGAAGTGGAGGTGGGCGGCCCCACGAGCGAGGCGGGACCCTGGCTGCGCGCCGACAAAAGGTTGACACGGGCGCCATTGCTCACCATCGCCGGCCCAGGCGGACGGAAAGAGCAGACAAGAGAGACGGCAGAACAGAGCCAAATACACGATAGATATAGAACAATAAATGCTACGTACACAACGACATCCATACGTAATGTAGATCGGAATACACCAGAAGATCATACAACCAAACAACATAGCGACTCTACGACCACAAGAACTACAACCACAAGCCACAAGAGACCAACACGGAACAGTACAGCACGAGAAGAGACGCTATCGAGACGCCGGAAATATTCAAGATACGCTCCACCCGAGAGCAGCAGAATCCTTCTGGAACGACACAGAATAATCACACCAATCGCCATACCAGGCGACAGAAGAGAGAATACAAATACCAACTATAGAGAATTACTGGCAACCAAGGACACTAGCAAGTCAAGGAAGAACCGAAGAATATATAACAGAAGAGACAAGAACAATGAACGCACGACCGCACAAGTAAGACGACCGACACATGCACAGCCACCTGTGCAAACACATATATAGAACAGCAGGACCAAATGACAAAGCAAGCGACAACACGCAGCAACAACATCTCACGAACCACACCCCAACCTAAACAAAAGAGAGCAAGAGACGAAACACACACACCTCAGAACAACAAAAGACAGAAAGGACCAAACTGACACCTCAGGACCAACAAGCAGAAGCCACTGAACACTCCTCAAGGGACACACAGCAGCACACATAGCACAATACCTCAGCAACCACTTAGACCACCTCAGGATAGACACAAGACAGAGCCATACATGCCCGCGCCACACATACCAACCGACAAGTGCCCCAAGTAATAGGCATTAATCGTACGCCAGCAAAGGAGCACCAAGATCCATGCGCAACCAACCGCAATGACCACTTAGACAAATTGAGTAGGACACCAAGTAGACCCATTAGCACAGATCAGAAAGACATACAGACAAGAGAAGGAACAGGCAAGAGGAGGCGTAGCCAGAGATCAGAGAGAAGACAACCTAAGAAAGGTCCTTGGTGCACCACCTGCTTTCATGAACGACCTCAAAAAGCACCTTTCCATCAGGCGGGAGGCGAAGCCACTTACCCACGAGATCCAAAAGATAGAGACAGATAACACACATACCACATGAATCAAACATACAAGAATAGCGACATACATACAATACACATAGACAATCATACACATCAAATAGGCAATCAATAGAGACGAGAAGCACAACACTCATATTAGAAGAGAAGAATAGACAAACAATAAATAATACACCCAAAAATACAAGAGTAAATAGACATAAGACGAACAAGAGACACCAGAGAATAAATAAATAATAGACATGAACAACAACACTATAATATACCACCATAAGAAAGTTATTAGAACCAATACAAAGAATAATCAAGAGAGAACGAATTATCACAGGAGAAAAAGCAACCATCAGTCAGAACATAAATACAAGGAACACAAGATAATGAGAAAGAACCCAAGAAAAACCGCAGGTCATATAGCATGACTAGACAACCGCGACATGCAACAGAAAGATCAATGAGTATTGAGATAAGATAAGATGTGACACCATCTTCCTCATAGAGGTTCTTCGTTCAGAAGTATGGAACATACGGGACGAAGCAGACCGAACTACCACATACATCTACACAGAAGACACTTTCGAAGTAAATTTAGATAAGACAATAATAAAAGATAACAATATACAATACATCATATCAATCCTACATGGATAGGAAACACTATCATACATATCGAGACACACATATCAATATATATAAACCTACAATAGAAGACACAACTACATGAAAAAGATAACCAGAATAAATACATAAATATAAATAACATCCAACAATAATGGTATACTAAACAGACTACAAGAAAAACAACAGACAAGAAAAAACAAATAATTCAACAGCAAGAACAGAAACAAGACACAAGAACAAGACAGAACACATAGATAGAGAAAGGATAATTAACATAAGTCATATCAATACAAACTAGACAGAAGAGTAATAGATACAACACAACAAATAAATACGATACATCAGGAGCAAAGTAGAATAAAGAACAGACACATAATAATAAGAGAACAAAACACTCAATAACCTATAAGATAGACAGACATCCAACAAGAGAACATACACAGACAATAAACAAAACAACTTAATACACACGCAGGAAAAGAAGATTCCTCACTCTCATAACACTCCAGTACAAAACTTCATACACACAGAAAAGCGAAGAAGAACACACTAAGAAATCAAGAGACCCGACACAATCTAACACTGATCACATAAGAGACATCTAAAAAATAATATACGTCTTGAATATATAGAAAAACACAACAGCGATATAAACAAACAAGAACAATAACTTTGATGGCAGATCTCTCACACAGACTAAGAAGATAATAATGAGAGAACATACAAAGAGATTGGGAGAATACAACATACATATAACATACGAATAACGTCGCATCAATCACACAGAGCAACTAAATAGTCACCACACTGCGTCTCCCCCGGGAAGAGAAGGGCGACGATAAACTCCTGTGCTCAAAAAGGACAGTGATGTCCCAATAGTAAAAACACGGGCTACATATGTGATGAGAGTCTCCAAAGACAAACATTTCATCACAGATAATACATCACAACCTTCAACATTCACAGCCCAAGCATGGGAGCACCCAATATTCCGTAGAACCTGAAAATTTTCTACAGTAACATGGCTTAGACAGCACCATCTGAGAGTATTACATCACGGCCGGGACTGCTAGACAGACGCAATTCAAAGCAGGCGCTCACAGCAGCACCGTCAGCTCCATTCCTTCTTCGCTCTCACATCACTTCATAAAAAAAAAATGTGCTGGCCAAGAGCAGCAAGCAGAAACGCCGACTGACGCACGCATATCATGTTCAGACGTCGGCCATTCCTAGTTACTTGAAGACATGTACTGTCGACATGCAGCATGGTAGTGCATGGTGGTATTACATGATCATTTTACCGTGATGATTTTTGTAACGTGTAATTCAGATGATTTTTCGAATTCGGGAATGCTCGGCAGCTTGCTTGGCAAGAAAATGTAATGCTTGTTGGTTTTATGTGGATATAATATAAGCACCTTGCTATTCTTGCACTTCTTGTTCGCTAATTACTAACACTTGCATATGTAGACAACACTCCACAGTGTACAGACTACCCGCCATCACCGTGTGCCACGCTGTACAATATCTACGCCACAATTCATACGCTACAGTACAACACTACTTCGCCATAATAACCTGTGCAAGTGTTTGGAATAAACAACAGGTCGAGGGTGAGGTTGGAGTAAGCTTGCTCCATTCTTCTCATTCGAGGGGCAGTGGTGGTGGCAGTCACGCATCGCTCTCCGCCATTGCGACTAATATCTCACTTGCTGGTGGCCCTTGCACAATTATTTTATTACCGCACCGCACAAGTAGTCCTTCCTGTTATTATATATGTTATATTTCCGTTTATCATTTGAACTACTTGCATTTGAATTTGGAGACCATAGGTAAGCATGGTTATAACATAATTTGCAGTGTGGTCGTGAAGACTGACATAATGACTCATCATGACCACACGGAAAGAAACGAAAGAAACGAGAACAGACATTCGTGGACTAACGGGCATGACTAAATGCTCTGAAGACGAATCCTAATTTCGCCAAAGCGTTTTATGCCTTTCCCCTTCTCAGTGTAGCTCAGCTTTGAAGAATTATTAAGGTACGTGAGGCACTGTAAATAGTGAAAACAAGTTATTATTTAGAAGTCGAGTTTGATATTACATTCGCATGCGTTAAACCTGCATGATGTGCTGCATATGCCATAAAGATGTAGATTAACGTGATTGGTGAGTGTCGTGGATCTTGTCGGTAAACTTGCCATGAAGTAGATTGTATTTAATTAGTCATTTAGCGGATCGAAAGCTCATACCATGTTCAGTTACCAAAATAGGTAGACGTCATCCTGTGTTGTATTTATCATTTTTTTTGGTGTGTTCGATAGATTGCCGGTACAAGGGTCACTCTTTGTCTGGTCGTTTATTTAATCTCGGTTTCTTATAGCTATTCCACCTGGATTTATGCATTAGATGTATGTTTAAATGGTTCTTGTTTTTCTGTCTCTTTAATAGTCTACTCAGAGTGGTTTATGCCGCTTCTCCTTCCTCCCCTCCACACCTTTTCCCCCTCCCCTCATCTTTCCTTTCTCTTCATCTTCCCACCACCCGCTCCTCTCCTCTAACACACCCTCCCTCCTCCATTTCTCTTCCCTCCCACCTCACCATTCTCTTTCCCTTTCCCCCTCCTTTTCCCTCTCCCCGTCTTCTTTCCCTCCCCTTCATTCCTTTCCCCCCTCCTCTTCCCTTCCTCTTCCCCTCCCTCCTTCCTCTTCCCCTCCCCCTTCCTCTCTTCTCCTTTCCTCCTTTCACACTCCCGCCCCCCTCTTCCTCCTTCCCCTCCTTTCACAATTCCCCCTCCCCCCTTCGTTCCTCTCCTCTCCCTTCATTCCTTTCTCCTCCTCCTTTCACATTTCCCCCTCCTCCTTCCCCCTCCTTCTTCTTCTTCCCTTCCTCTTCCCACTTCTTCCCTCTCCCGTCCTCCTTACCTTCTCTTCCCCCCGCCTCCCCTTTCCCTTCCTCCCCTCGCCCTCTGACCCGTGGATTGACCCATGGTCACTCGGTCATCTGGAACCAGACCTCGTATTTTGTCACTTGACACGCCTTGCGCCACGTTCACCATCTCATGTATCCCCCCTCCTTTCCTCCTCTCTCTCTCTCTCGCGCGCCTTTCATTCTTCCCTTCTTCATGTAGTTTTTTCTGTTTGTCATTTTTTCTTCGCCTTATCGTCTTGCTATTTTCTAAACCTGTTATTTTGTGAGAGATGTTCCTCTCCTTTCCTTCTGTTACATATGTTTTATTTATTTCTGCTGGCTTTGTCGTTTCCTTTCTTCCTACTTCCTTTCCGTCGTCTACGTCTATTTGTTTTCTTTTATATCTCTATTTTTCATTTTGTTTCATTTCTTCCCGTACGTGTTACTTTTTTATCCAGTGGGCAATGTGCCATCTTGCATGAACTAATGAAATCTACCTTCCTTTCCTTCCTTCCTCGTCAATTCAAACGTGATTCTTCCTCCCGCCTGTTTCGCTTGCCTTATCATTCATTTTCACTTTCCTTCCTTTGTTCCACCATTTTCCTTTTCTTTCCCGAAATGGCATCTCGCTGGGCCAAGGTTCCACCGGGGCCCAAGGGGTAGGCGTGGCGGCGACCGGATGGCCCTCCGAGAACAGGCATTAGTGTCGGGGAGTTTCTATTCTGGAGTCGAGATAGACAGAGCCTTTGCGTGCGTGCGTGCGTGCGTGCGTGCGTCACCCACATTCTCGTCGCCTCGTAATTACTCTGAGAATAGCGGCTGGTCTAGTGGTCCGGCCCTTGGGGAAGTTTTGGTCTCTCAGGTCTTTCATTTTCCTAAGGACGTCCCTTGCAATGGGTAGGAAATATGTCTCTTGAATGGGACGTGTGACTCGAATTCTATCTAGGCGACGTTTTTTTTTCTCTGGATTATATGTTCGTTGAAGACTGCGTGGTCTTGGGCCGAGAGCAATCACGACCGCGTTCGGTGTCCTGTGCCAACGCAATCCACTTCCAATAAACCTGATTCCATAGAAGGGCTTAATCCCTCCCCCCCCCCCCCCCCCTTCCCCCCCTGGTACGTCAATAATTTCTCCCTTACATCTATAAGCATCAGGTACCGAGTGTTTTATATCATCATCATCATCGTCGTCGTCATCGTCCATCGTCATCGTCATCGTCATCGTCATCGTCATCGTCATCGTCATCGTCAATCGTCATCATCATCATCATCATCATCATCATCATCATCATCATCATCATCATCATCATCATCATCATCATCATCATCATCATCATCATCATCAATCCCATCCCTTTATTGCCTCTCTTGGATTCCTTTTTCAAACCCTACTTTTTACCTTCCCTTCTCCTTCTTCCCTCCCTCCCCTCCCCTCCCCTCCCCACTTTCGTCTTTCCTCCTTCCCTTCCTCCCCTCTTCGTCTCCCCTTCCCCCCCTCCCTCCCCTCTTTCGTCTTTCCCCCTTCCCCTCCCTCCCCCCCTCATTCCGCCCGAGAGGCCACCCAAAGCCAGGCGAGGCAGGGTGTCGCTGAAGCCCAACGCAAGACCGAATCTTAAGTACCAGCGGCCTCTTTATGGTTACTTGATCCCCTACAGATGTCACCCGATCCCTTAATATTAGCAGTGGACCCGTCGTCGTGAGGGGAGGTGGTGTGTTGTAGGGTCGGGTTATAGACTTTGATCCCCTTCGATTAATTTTAATTGACTGTTTCGCGATCAGGGTGAACTGAACATGGTAGGTCGAAGAGAGCGAGTGGAATATTAAACAGTGCATGCATTCCGAGTCTTTTCATGAGCTGATTTTCTAAAATTTGTTAATTGATTTTGATTACATCAGACCAAGTGACTTTAACGCCCAAATACATTTTTTTAAATACCAGTGACCAGGATATGGTACTGTACCTCATTTTTCATTTGCTATTTTTTCCACATTGCACAGGCAGGATTATTTTATTCATTTATTTCGTCAATTTGCCTATTGAATGATATGAATAAAATAATCCTTATAGAATATAGCAATTCATATTTGTAAACAATTGTAATCATTAAATGTAAATCATCTTTCTTTCTAAAAGATTCTATAAATCACTAGTATTAGCACTAAATGTAGATTAATATGTTAACGATTTTCCGTAATATGAATCAGGAATCTTTCTTGACACAATAAATTGAATAGTTTAACGACATTTCTTCACCAGTAACCTAATAGTATGATAAATAATTATTTATTGATTTTTCTATCATCTGTGCGTACTATGAGTAATGATTTAATTGTGACAATGTGCTGACCTATCTTAACCTTTTCCAGAGCGGGAATATCAGTGCTTAGGGCAGTGGGAGGAAGAAGGACGACTCTACGCCTTCACTTATCGCAGGGATGTCAAGACCTACGAGTGCTTTGTGGGCGTAATTAAGCCCTCAGGGGTAGTCTTCATCAAAGAAGCGGGTCCCGTGTGTTCCAGGGGTGTTCAGCCTGAGGTCCTGGGTATGAAGCTGCACAGGAAAGGTGAGAAAGGGGATTTGTTATGAACAGTGGCAATCAATAAAATTTACTTTATTTTACTGTCAGTAATAGCATTTCTTTAATCGGGAATTGTAGTTATTATATATTTATACAATAATGGATAATGTTTGATTAGAAAATGTATGAAACTTGTATTTACTCACAAACTGAATTGTCGTGGCTCCACAGAGGCGTGCGTACCCCCAACGCGAGCGAGTCAGAGTTCCCTCGTAACGGATTACACGCCACGAGCCACCAGGCCTCCGTGGCTGAGAACCACTCGACCCTGGAAGCCTATAACAGGTCAGTATGTCGCCCTCTAGGCTAGCTGCATGCATCATTATTGATGGATGCGATTGTCTCTTTGACTATTTCCTATCCATATCTATATATACTCCATACTCTATAACCAGTATTTCTCTCTAACTTAGATTATTCTGTATAAGGAATTTAGGATTTTCACTATATCCAATGTAGCTCCTACTAATTTCCTGTATTGCTATACCTTTATTGGATGAATACCAAATGTACGCCTATCTTTTTCACGCTGCTATCAAACTGTAGAGGGCCAAGTGTTTGTACCCTGTAAGGTAGGTCAGCAGTGTAATGCTTCCCCACATAAGATTCAGAAATCAGTGGACAGCTTCTCAAAATTTATTAGGAAGCTAACTGGAAAAGGACATCGTAACCAGGAAATTCCCCTTAATGGTGACAGGACAGCAAAAGTTTTAGATCCAGAAACAAATCGAATCAGCATGTTTAAAAAGCCGGTTCTACCCTACAAAAAGTACTTCGACAACTTACTGCGTCCCAAGTACCAGCCTCATTCCGAGGGGTACCAAGTGAGCCGGGTAAGGAGGGAAGTCACAGCAGAAGATGACAGGGTGAAGATTAGGTACCATCCTCTGACATTCCTGCAGAAATACAATCAAGAGAATCACGAGGAAGAATCTCCTGACGAGGGCCACCAGGATAGTCACGATAGCCATGAAACCTCAGTGCATGACACAGCTATGAAAAACTCTTCTAACGACCATCATGCACAGGACGGCCATATAGATGAACATACGAACTCGGAAGAGCCTGGCCACACGGGAAAATACGAGCACACGAGTGATGAACATAGTCGTGACCACACTGATGAACATGGCCTCGATGACGAACAGAATCACAACAAAGATGACGTTGATCACACTATCTACCATGATCCCTTTAATGGCTCTGATCACATCAATAACCATGGCCATGTTAATGACCCTGATCATACTGAAGACCATGATCACCCTAATGATCATGATGACCACGGTCACCATGACGACCCTGATCACTCAGATGACCATGATCACTCAGATGACCATGATCACCCTAATGATCATGATGACCACGGTCACCATGATGATCACTCAGATTGAGATGACCATGATCACTCAGATGATGAGATGACCATGATGACCATGATGATGATGACCACGGTCACCATGACGACCCTGATCACTCAGATGACCATGATCACTCAGATGACCATGATCACCCTAATGATCATGATGACCACGATCACCATGATGACCATGATCACCCTAATGATCATGATGACCACGATCATCATGATGACCACAATCACCATGATGACCACGATCACCATGATGACCATAATCATGATGACCATGATCACCCATGATGACATGATCACCCTAATGACCATGATCATGACCATGATCACCCTAATGACCATGATCACAATGACCATGATCACCCAATGACCATGATGACCATGATCCACACCTAATGACCATGATGACCATGATCACCCTAATGACCATGATCACCTAATGACCATCCATGATCACCCTAATGACCATGATGACCATGATCACCCTAATGACCATGATCACCCTAATGACCATGATGACCATGATCACCCTAATGACCATGATGACCATGATCACCCTAATGACCATGATCAATGACCATGATGACCATGATCACCCCATATGACCATGATCATGATGACCACGATCACCATGATGACCACATCACCAACCACGATCACCATGATGACCACGATGATGACCATGATCACTCCAATGGTCATGATGACCATGATCACCCTAATGACCATGATCACTCCAATTTCCATGATGACCCTAATGACCATGGTCACATTAATGATCATGATGACCATAAAGACCATGATCATAACGACCATGATCACTCCAATTTCCATGATGACCATGATCACCCTAATGACAATGACGACCACGATCACCATGATGACCATGATCACTCCAATTTCCATGATGACCCTAATGACCATGATGACCATGGTCACCCAAATGATCACGATGACCATAATAACCCAAATGATCATGATGACCATGATCACTTTGGCGACCTTAATGACAACGATCACCATAATGACCATGATCACCCAAAAGATCATTATGACCATGATGACGACCTCATCGGTAGCCATGATCATTCAAGTAATCTAGACGCTGACGACCGAGATCACACAAATGGCCCTCATGGCGCCAGTGACCATGACCATCTTCATCCCGCCGATGAACGTGGTCCTGCAGAAGGAACGGGTCTTGCAGACTTTGATCACATCGATAACCACGTTAATGGCCATGGTCACGCTGATCAGCATGGTGATACTGGTCAGCATGACGACGGTGAACATGACTATAAAGAAAAGTCTGATCACGTGAACGATCACACGGAAGAACATGGCCGCACCACTGCCGGGCATGGCCACGGCGCTGGCCAGACGCCCAGGCAAACGGCGCGACTGCTGAGCGAGCAGGCGATCGTGACCCGCAGCCAGACGGCGGCGCCGGCGAGCACGGGGGACCCCGGCGAGGACAAGGCGCGGCGGCGCTGGAAGACGATGCCGAGTCACCACGCGCGCGTCCTCGAGAATGTGACCCACGTCGAGATGGCCGTCATCGCGGAGGGCGAGGGGCGCTCCGACATGGCGGACAAGGATCATGGCGATGGACACGGCGACGAGAGCACCACGCTCGACCCAGCCATGGACGGGAACACGA